CTCTCTCTCTCTCTCTCTCTCTCTCTCTCTCTCTCTCTCTCTCTCCGAGTGTGTGTGTGTGTGTGTGTGTATCCAATGATGCTGTCATAGTTTTTATTTCTGTTTATATGATGAAACACCCTGACCAAAAGCAATTTGGAAAAAGAAAAGAAGTGTTTGTTTGGCTTAAAATTCCAGGTTACAGTTCAACATTTTGGGTAAGCCAAGGCAATAACTCAAGCAGCTAGTCACAGTACACCAGTACACTCCCAGTCAAGATTAGAGAGAAACACGTGCACCCATCATTATGCCTTGCTTCTGCTCAGTCAGCTTCTTTCATTCTGATGCTGTTCAGGGGCCCCAGCCAAAGCACTGATGCATATCACAGTGGGCTGAATCAATTAACAAGCAAGATAATTGCACATAGACATGCCCCACCTGATCTAGACAAGGCCTCACTGAGATCCTCTCTCCTGAGTGACTATAGGTTGTGTCAAGTTGACAATAGAAACTAACCAGTAGAGTTGCCCTGTGTATGGTTCCCAATAATCAGAACAAAAGCAACATTGCCTACTGTACTAGTGGACGGGGGGTTAAGAGGAGCCTGCCTGGTGCGGTTTTAATCTGTCCCCATCCTCTGAGGTATAAACTATGTACCTTCAGAACGCAAGCAAAGATGAGGGGAATAAGACTTTGGTAAAGGAATACAACTATAGTGCAGTTACAATACAATGGCCCAACAGAGTTCAGGGAAAATATAGATTTACAACAAGATGGAGAACAGACCACAGAAAGCATTGTCATCCCATTTGAAGAATAGGGGCTCCATTTACAGACAATGGAGTGTTCCTTAGTAAGAATGCCACCATGTACATATTCATCTGGTATTTCATTTGGATAAAACAATGTACAGTTTGATATATAAAATCCAAGTGGCCATTGAAGAAATCATGAAATGGTACCCTAACACTGTGTAGGCAACAACATGGGTTATCTCATCTTCAATCTCCAAGTCATGGTAGGTGATGAACTAGTTTATTTGAAGGATATGTGTGAGCATATGAGCCTCATGTCTTAAAAACATTAAACTTTATAGCAGAGATAACTCCTACTTGTAATTTGCCCATTCACTCATTTGGCATGTATTGAATGCTACTGTATATCAGACCACACTGATGAGAAGCAATAGTGAAGTAGACAGATGTCACCATTTGTTTTGTGAAGTTTTTATTCAGGTAAGAGCATAGTAGCAGAATATATTATGATAGGTGTCACTATAGAAACTCACTCTCTATAAACCACACTGAAACACTGAATGAAATCTTGAATAGCAAACACATGCTTTGTTTTATCATTTAGACAGCACGCCTGGTGCAAATAGTTTCTAATGTATTCTCTTATAATGGTTCATTCACAAATAGATTTTACTTACCCTGGAATTAGCCTAGCAATGGTTCTCAAATAATAACCAAATTAAATCTCAAATCTATGCAACACGCAGTTTGAAACTTACTACGACAACTCCTAGAATTGTCAGGTATCTTCAACATAAAGCCACCATGGGATGATTCTGGGTTGTTGACTTTCGAGCTGAATCTAAGGTTAAAAGACCCTAAACTTCTTAAGCTAGAACTTTGCTGGAAAGGATGGATGTAATAAGTTAGAATGACTTTCAACTACATAGGAAGTGCCACATGTTGACTAAACAGAATCCACTGATTTGGTTCATCTGGCTTGAATGTCTGAGGAATTCTCAAGTATCTGCCTTTGATGGTCTGTGTGATAGCTACCCTTGACTTAGTTTCCCTACCTTGTCCTTAGGTGAGTTTCTGAAACAATGAAGAACACACTGGCTTGGAGACAAAAACACACACAAAGATCAGGCAGAAGTCCTGAATAGAATGCAGGTATTTCCTAGGCTGACTTAAAAGACTGCATATATCCAACACACATTCTTTTAAAGCTGCATGCTTAAGCTCAAAAGAAAAGGTCATTCCCAGCAGGCAACCTGAGATCACACACAACCCTAAACAAGAGCTGTCTGTCGCTGATGCTGACAGGGATGGGGGGTAGAAAGGAGGAACTTAAAAGCCATAATTGAAGGGCTGCAGATTAAAGGGTCCTATAGGGCATGGGGAAGGGCCCTTTATTCTTAAAGGGGACAGAAAATTAGAAACAAGTCTCTGCAGGGATGCAATAGCCTATGTCCCCTCATGAAAAGATAAGGAGAGAGAGACAGATGGGGGGGGGGAGAAGGAAGGAATGAGGAAAGGGGGGTTATTCAGTAGCTCAGGTCCAGTCAGTGAATGGAGGAAAATATCTCCTTGATGTTTTAAAAGTAGATTTCAAGATGTAATTTGTACTAATCTAAAGAGTTAATATTTGTTCCATTAGTACTGGCCCTTGATACTGCCAGGAGCCAGTATAAAGGCTATGTGCAATGTCACTCAGTACAAACTACATGGTTTTCTTCAGAGAATGTCCAAGAAAAGATGTTCACAACCCTGCATCACCAAGTGCACAGAGATATTATCTCACACAGGAAAGGAAAATAAATATGGCTATGAAATATGAAGAACCCTAGGCAAAAGATGCTCTGAAGACTTGTGTGACCACTGTTTGGATTTAGCTTTGACAAGCTTGCCTGGCATTTGGGGGAATTATTAGCTAATTAGAAATTAAAAAAAAAACAGGTGATATTGTGAATGAGAAAAAACAAATTATTTATCTTTATTTCATCATTTCACACAATGTAAGTTAGAACAATTTCCCCTTTGAATTGGACATCTAGGGTATTGGACCTCTATGAAAGAATTCTTTTTATCTTTCCTTAGATTCTTCTAGGCTCAATGTTCATCATATACTCTAAATCCCCTGCGTTCACTCTGGGGAAAAATATAACTTTTGTCACCTGCTCCTTATAAAGCTGACCACATAGAGCGACAGGGTCTCCAGAAAGGGCACAGCTTAAGTGTGGTGAGGAATAGCTATGACCCTAAACTTGTTTTAGAGAGAAGAACTAAAAAGGCAGAGAAGAGAAAGTAATCAGGAAGGCTATCATTTCCATGCAGTGGGAACCTCGAGTGGGACCATCTGAAGCTGGCTGGTGCTAGTTAACAATCAGAAAGGCTTCCTTCTGTTTCCACTGGTGTCCGTGGATGCCCACCACCTAAGATGACTGAGGAAAGATGCCAGGTGTGTGGAAGAACTGAAGCAAGGCAGGCTACAGTGACACCCCAGGAAAGCCCTCAAGCCAAAGGATCTCAGAAACTGCAGCAAAAGCACAAAAGACAGGTGCTTCCTGAACATAGAGCAAGAAGGTCTGTTTATCTGATCAGTATACTTATTATATACATTGCATGGATTGTTCTGTTCAAGGAACTAGAGGAGCCATTCTATATTACAGTGAAAATCTAGAAAAAGGACTTCTGAGTATGCTTCACACAGGAAGACTTCACAGAAATGTCAGAGCTGGATCAGAAACCTGGTGGATGAGTACAAACTCTACCTGGTGACAGTGGGAAGATAATGAAGCAGGCTCAGAGAGGGAAGATCAGAGGGAAAGGGGGACAAAGCCCAGACATCGGTCTAAGAGACAATATGATAGGTTCCCAGTGAGCACGTTTTACATGACTGGATGGAAGAATGAGACTTAGGAATTACCACAAGATGATTCTGATTGGACTGAGTCCAGGTTCCAAGCCTCCTCTCACACTCGGGATCTAAGAGTATTCTATGAGGAGTTTGGAGTCATTAATGAATATCCAGAATGAATGTAACATGATGCTTGTGGCTAAAGCAGTCTAAGCAATGAGCCCTGGAAGCTCACTCATTGGAAGTGAGTCTTTAGTGGAGGAGGAGGAGTGATTCAGGAATACCAGTAGACTCCTGGGGTCCCCTTATATCAAATGTTTTAAATTAAGTGGTATTTAAATTGGGTAGTATCACTCTGTGGCATAGCTTAGATACCGAGCCAATGAGCTGAGGCTTTTGGATAGGGGAGTTCCCCCATACATACATACTTCTTTCTCCCATTCGTCCATAGCTTCTGGGCACCTGCCAAAGAAGTCTAAGGAAGCTGGTTGCCATAGAAAAGGAAAGTGGCAGGTAACCAGTAAGGACCACATAGTAGAGCTTATCTTGGAACATGCTCACTGTAGCACTGCTCACAATGGTCAAAAGACAGATTCACGTTGAGTCCCCAGGTAAATTCATAAATAAAACACAACAAGTGTATGCAGTAGGATGTATTCAGCCTTAAGTACGGAAGATGATCCTGTTGCTTGCAGCAACATTGAAGGACCTGCACGACTATTCACTAAGATAAATAAGTTAATCCACTTCTACAGGGATCTAGATAGATAAACTTACAGAAGCAGAAAATGCAGTAGTGGTTACCAGGGCTTCAGCTGTTAGTAGGTGGAGAAGATTAACATTGCAATAAATGGATATATTTTATTTGAGTTTGTGTTACACAGTCTGGTGCTTGTAATTAACAATATGATATTTGCTTTTTTAAAGATAGATTATGTTACATGTTCTTAAAACACACCCACACCTACACACAAACACACAGAAGGATATAAGGTGCCTTGGGGAGCTGTTTGGTATGTCCTTTATGCTAATTATGGTGATAAGTAACAGGTGTTTGCATATATCTAACTCGTTAAGTTATGCACATTAAATGTGTACGTTTTAATGTGTATCAATTATACCTCAGTAAAGCTGTTAAAAACATAGAGACAGCCAGATGACCACATTAATATGGACATGAGAAAGGATCCAGTATATTCCTGACTAATCACACATTCCTAAAATAATATTCTATGATCCCAGGACATGAGGCAGGCTCTGTAGCAACAGGAAAAATATCCCTCTCCTGTTTCCCAGGACTACCTGGTCTAACTTAGAGAATTAGCTCTGAAAATTGAATGAAATAAAACAAAGGGCTCTTGTCTAGCATCCTGGAAATCCTATACAGAACCTTTAAATGATGGCGTTAAACCACAGAGAAACCATGAAATTACTTAATACCCAAAAATGACCAAGGAGACACGTGTCTCCAAAAAAGACATGTTTTGTCCCAACTCATACTTTCCTATGACTGATTTTTGTCTTTTGTTAAGTTTGATAATTAATGAATGGTTCTTACCACGCCAATCTTTTCAACAAGTATTTTTAGTTGTATTATACTTGAAAGCATTAAGGGCTAAAGGAAGATCCTGTGCCATTCAATTATCCTCGTGAGAATTCTCTATTCTCTTTCAGGGTGACTCACAGCTCCAGGCACACTTTCCAAATTGCAGTTGGGGGGGGGGGCTCAGGAATCGCAGAAAATGCCAACAACTAAAGAATGAATTGCAACTAATGAGGAAAGGTGTCTCCTGCAGCTGGAGAAGGGGTTAGATAAGGACAAACCCAGTCGGCAAAAGATCCTTTAGTCTGAAAAATGAAGCATGAGAAAAATCAGGGGAAATAGTGTTTGATTACAGCCACTGCGCAGAGAGAAAATAGCAAAACAATTTAATTTCGAATTCTTCTGGAGTCTTCTAACTAGGCCATATTTCCAGAGAAACACAAATTGCTGATAAATCAAGAGGCCTTGGGTAAAACTGGCAAACTAGACGTCTGAGGAAATGTGATTACAGCTGACAGCAGAAATGAGAGCTTCCCAACTCTTGTACGTACCCAGGTTGACTAATTACTGATTTTTTGGAAGGGGTGGTTTAATTTGTTATATTTAGAAGATATTTGACAACCATGAGAATTTTAATAAGATACTTCATGAATGTGAAGCACGACTGTGGTCCAACTGCTTTCAAGTTGTTTGGGAATATTTGGAAGAACCAACTATGGAAGGCAGATGCCAATTTCCAAAGATGTGAACGTGGTCTTTGTAAAAGCCATTCCCTTGTGTTGTAGTTTAAGTGTGAAATGTCTTCCATGGGCTCATGTGTTGGTCTCCAATTGGTTTGGAAAAGTCATTGGAGTCCTTAGCAGGTGGACCATTGCTGGAGGAAGCAGGTCATTCAAATAGGCCTTGGAGATTTACATCAGAGCTCAACCTCCTATTTTCTCTCTGCTTCTGGACACTCAGACACAATGTGACCAGCTGCTCCACTCTCCTGCCATCAGATCTTCCCTGCGGTGCTGAACTGTAGACCTTAAAACTGTGAGCCAAATAAGCCCTTCCTCCTTTAAGTTGCCTTTTGTCTAGAATTTTGCCACAGAACATGAAAAGTAACTAAGCCACTAGTTGTAGTTACCAGACACCATTTTCATGTTCTTGCCATCTTAATGAAAATTGGCTACTTATCGTCACTTACAATTTTTTTCAAATAGCCTCTTTTAGGCCTTTATTTCAAAGATTTTATTCAAAGTCTCAATTATTTATAGTCACAGTGAGAAACTAAATGCAAAAAAAAAAAAAAGTAAGACTGCTAAAAACTGAATATGGTCATTGTCAAACTAGGGGCTAGAGAGATGGCTCAGCAGTTAAAAGCATTTGACCACACTTTCGTTCCCAGCACCCACAGGGCAGCTCACAACCATGTTTTAATACCAGCTCCAGGGGGCCATAGCCCTCTGGCCTTGGAAAGTACATCTACACATAATAAAAATAATAAAAATAAATCTTTGTAGAGTGAATGTGTTGAGTACAACATCAACCCATTGATTCAACACTGATATTTTTAATGAACTACTGCATTTCATCTTCACAGCAATCCTACATGCTATTTTTCTTTGTCCTTATGTTAATAAAGAAGTGGAAGATCTGAAAAGTTAATTGATGTGCCCAAGAACACTCAAGTACATAGAGGCAGCTCCAGGATGTAAATTCAGGAGCACTTAGCCCAAAAGACAGGTCCTCTCAGCACTCTGCGTTCCTGTCTTCCAGGGCTGGCACGGGCAAAATTTTTCACAGTCTACCAAACAAAACACATCTAATTGTTAAATTTTTCCCACTTCCTCACAACCTCATTCAATATGTCACAAACCTGTCAATTCTGTATAAAAACAAATTATCCTCCTTCTATTTAATCTGTAGTTTCTTAGAATACTTGATGCTTTTCTTTGCTTCTGAGCTCACACCAGCTACGCTTTGTGTGATCTTCCCTTGCATACTACTGGAAAACTAGCATTGAAAATCCAAATCTGATGTGTTCTCATCCTGCTTAAGATGCTTCAAATTGCCCATGAATCGTTAGAATTCAATGAATTGAGTCTCCTCAATAAGGCACAGAAGGTTCTTCAGCCCTCCACCATCTGTCATTTCTGGTCCAACCCCTATGTCTGTGTCCTGCTTAGATTTCCTTGGTTTTGGCAGGAACTAGAATTCCTTGGTTTCATTATTTGTTCATATTATGAGAAGGATGCTTCATGTGATAAAGATGTTTCATTCTTCTTTTAAAAGTAGTCTACATATACCTTCACACACACACACACACACTCGAATCTTCCTATCATGCCAATGCTAATTCCTGGTTTTGTTAATATTCTGAAGCACTACAAATTGTTATCAACAGGGAAAACTGGATCGATAGGGCTTATTTTGAGTTTAGCTCTCTGCTGTCACATTTAACATTTTATTTTGTTATGGACGCTCTATTCTCATTTTATACTGGTTGATAAAAGTTTAAGCGAGTTCTCACTAAGAAACAGAAGAAAGTCAAACAAATGTATGTGATTGGAAGGAATGACTAGCCACAATATATATATCTTGACAAGCCTAGAATCCCAGTAAATTGTAATGCAGCATAGAAAATGCAGAAATATCATTTAAGTGCCCATCTGCCTAATTAGCCACTCATTTCTTTTTTTTTAATAATTTATTTTTTCTCAAATCATAATTCATTCACACAGGGGTTATAAACACAGAACAGCAGGATGTGGGGAAGGGAATGACACTGGAGTGTGGGTGTTCTGGGGGAATATAGATATCTTCAGAACTGGGTATCGGCTGGGTGAAGGTTCAGGGGACAGGTCACTATGACTCTGCCTATGACTCACTTGTCCTTATCTAAGTTGGTATTATCTGCCAAGGCTACCTATTAACAAGGTCTATGACTGCTCAGGCTTGTAGATTTCCACAAAAGCTGCCTGTTTACATTAGCTTATAGCCATCTGTTTCAATGTTTTTCCACTAAGACCCAAGACTTAGTGTTAGTACACATGTATGACAGGCCTATTGCTGATTTTAGACCTATGGTTGATTTTAGGCTTTCAGAGTGTGTGCAGGGCTGCCCCTGCCATCTCCTCCCTTCTCTAAGTATAGAAGGGCTGTGGCAATTATAATCTTGCGAAGGCGGGGATAGAGGCCTGACCTCCAGTAATTGAAGGGGACCTTGTAATAGCCACTCATTTCTTAAGACCCTCTTGGATTCTATTATGCCTGAAACCCTTCTGACTTTATCTAGGATGATCTCATACTACCTTTCTGGCTATATAGTAGCTTCCTCTCCTCCATTCTCTCCATGTTCCCAATCCTGCTGTAACACTTAAGGCATTATGCTATAGCTATTTGGAAACACATTTTACTTCCTATCTGAGAAATGTGTTTCCATTAGGGTTGTGTCTTATTCAGCTTAGAACAAGTACTTAGGACAGTTGTTTCCATAGAGCATGTAGTTGAGGATTTGATGAATGAATAACAAGAGATGAGGCTTGGAGTTTCTATCACTGCATTTATATACATACATTTGAATGGAGGAATGCATAAGCATATATCTACATTAGCTATGTCATTTCTATATGTATGTATCATCTATTTCAACAGAATATATGTATATGCATATGTGTGCATATACCTTGCTTTTAAACTAAAGCAATTGAGACTTAGTGAAGTTATCATCCCAGAATGTCTAAACTGAGATTTGAATACTGACTCCAGAACACAGTTTCCAATACATGTCTTGTAAGTTTGCCTCCATTATTACGTCCCCACTTCGATTCCATACATCAAAATCTATATTAGAAATGGGCAAATGTTTTCTAAGTATTATCAACATTCTGATGCAGATATTTAAACTCTCATTTTTTTGTACTACTTTTTTTGTATTTCAGTTACAGGAAGTGCAGAAACGTATCAACAAAATTTTAATCTCTGGTTTCACCCTCTCTATCAAAATATTAGGCATCTCTGAACTGTGTCTTGGACCAGGACTATATAACTTTCATTCAGAAATGGCATCCCATCATGGAATGAGAAAGCAAAGATTACCATTTTCATGGTAGTGGTACCTACCAAGGCTACTGATTCCCTCCAGCCAGAGATCCTCACTTGGGAGTGAGTCAACATCTCCAAAGATACTTCCATGCAGCCAAGACTTAGAGGCTCGGGGATCCAAGAGAGAAGAAAGAGAACGGTGGGTTCTCTTTTTCTTTCTAAATATTCTGGGAAGAAATGAAAGTAGAATGATGAACAGCAAGTAGCAGTCACTTTGGGTTGGAAGCAATTCAATGGTAGTGACTTGATGCACATGGTGGGTATAACCCAAATTCATATATTCAAATAATTCTGATTTTCTCACCAATGTACCTGAAAACTATGTTGATTTATTGTGCTGAATAGTTTTGTGTCAACTTGATATAAGCTAGAGTCGTCAAAGGAGACTAGTCAATTGAGAAGGAAAGTCAATTGAGGAAATGACCATTAAGACTGGGCTGTAAGCAAACCTATAGGGCATTTCCTTAGCTAGTGATTGATATGGGAGGGCCCAGCCATTGTGAGTGATGCCATAACTGGGCTTGTGGTCCTGGGTTCTATAAAAAAGCAAAATGATAAAGCCAGGAGGACCAAGCAGTTAGTAGCACCCTTCCGTGGCTTCTCCATTAGCTGCTGCTTCTACATTTCTGCCCTTACTATGTTTAATGATGAACTTTATATGGAAATGTGAGTGAAAAAAACCCTTTCCTCCTTTAGTTGGTTTTGGTCATGGTATTTCATCACAGCAATAGTAACTAGGACATTTATTATTTTCTGTTTTTTTCTATTACTATACAAACTTCACAAAACTGTTAGCACACTGCAACATGTAATTTGAGGAAACCTAAATTTGTGCTCCTAGTCCATGTTTGCTCCATCTTTCTCTAGAATAAATGATTTCTTATTCCCTTTGAGACAAAAGTTGTTTTTTTTTATTTTGGCAGCTAAAGATATCCAACTGAAGTGATCTTGGAAAACTCAGAATAAACAAATGAACTGTTAACCAGACCAAGGGAGATCTGAACCCCAGAAACGACTCACAAACATCCACCCAAAAAGATAGCTCTGAATCACTGGGCACAAATGACTCATACTCAATACTAGCTCTGATTCAGGTGACGGCTCTGATGAAATGTGGATCCATTTGGGGTTCCAAAGTTTGGGAAGAATAATTGTTGATATAAAACCACAGCTTTCCCCTCAAGGGAAATAAGAAATAATTAATTTTGAAGCCAAGTATGGGTGATCATGACTCAGCAATATGAAATTCGGGTACGTAAGTCTGTGCTCCTGTGACATGGTCCCCCATATTTGGCTCCATAGTAAATAATCTTTAATCCATTTGGAATGAGAGTTGTGTTTATTACTTGAAAAGATCCTTGGATCTTTGCCAATGATAGTGAGATAAAGACTAAACTGTGCATAGATGGAGGGCATGGTCTATGTTCTAAGGAAACTGACAAGACTCTGAAAATCCTGGAGATTCCTTCAAGGCAGCTCACCCTGTGCCAAGAAGCCTTCTCTGCATAGATAAACCCACATGATCCCAAAAACAGTCCTATGAGGTAGGTATTATTATTATCCCACTTTTGAGATTGGGAAAAGGAGACGCAGAGAGTTTATATTATTTCCTAAGGCCATGCAACTGGAAAACAACGTAGCTTGGAAGCAAATCTAATCAATCTGAGTCCACGGGCACTGGTCTTGACCATCATGTTATGTTCGAGATGTGAGCTCAGAAGAATTACTTAGAAAGGGCCCACAGAGAAATGGAAGGGCAAGCTAATTGAAAGTCAGTGAAGCTTCCGGGGTAAGTGAGTAAATAAACTGTATGAGACGATTGTTGAAAAATAAGTATGTTTCATACTGGGTAATGGTAGAAAATAAAGCGGGAAAGATAAAAGGGGCCGATAATAAAGAACCCTGTATGTTTCCTTGAGGGACATGGAGCTTAATGTTAGTGTAAAAGACACTATAAGAGTGTGTCTTGGAGAAGGGAGGGGTAATGGCTTTTATTTCCAAAGACTCTTAGCCACAGAAGGTTTGGAGGGATGGGAACAAAGACAGGGAAATATTGAAAGTTCATGATAAGGTCAGTTCTTGGACACCTGTCTGGGATGTGCCAAGCCCTGTTATGAACACATTAAGTTATTGAGAAATGCTAAGGGGCTAAAACAGAGCCTAGTAACATGAAGAAGAAACAGTTTGATTTTATCATTGACAGCATTTTACTGTTCTGTAGGGCATCTGGAATGGCTCCATTAGAGAAAGCATTTGGTTTCATTTATTTAATTCTCTCTCTCTCTCTCTCTCTCTCTCTCTCTCTCTCTCTCTGTGTGTGTGTGTGTGTGTGTGTGTGTGTGTGTGTGTGTGTAAGCCAAAGGTCAACCTTGAATATCTTTCTCTATCATTTTCGATCTTATTATTCAAGACACGGCCTCTATTGAACCTGGAGCTTTCTGGTTTAACTAAATTGTTTGGCCAATGAGTTCCAGAACTGCACATACCTCTGTCCCCTCTGCCTCTCCAGGTCTGGGATTACAAATGCACAATGCTGTAACTGGCTTTTGTGTGGATGTTAGGAATCTGAGTTCATGTCCTCATGCTTGAACACAAGGAATTTGACTTCCTGAGCTATTTCACAGATCCTAAGCCCTGGGTATCCATTACTCTGAATTAATATAATTTTAGCCTTCTTTCTTGCAGGTAGCCCCTTTCTTAAGCTGTTATCCCACCAGCTACATGCATTTCCCCAGTTGTATCAGGATTTCCCAGAGTCCTTTGCCTGTACCTTTCTCCATGAAATTCCGTTTCCTACTTCGTTTTAGCAAACATGCTATGGCATGTACAATTAACCATCACCATTTCTAAGAAGCTTGTATTATCTGTTTCCCATGTGAAACTGGCATCTTTCTCTTTCCTTCCTCTGCCCTTGATACCAATTTCCACTCCAGCATATGTATCATTTTGTTTTACCTTTATTTGTTTTTACATTGATTTACCTGATTTCAATTCCTCTTTCATTACCGTACACTTGAGTGGCAGTGAGCTGCTTGTAAATGTGCAGAAGAATGAATGTTGGGCAGAATGGTCTTGAGATGCCTTACACAGCATCCGTTCCTTACACAGCATCCATTCCTTACACAGCATCCTTTCCTTACACAGCATCCGTTCCTTACACAGCATCCGTTCCTTACACA